AGGGGATGGCACCGCACTGGAAAGAAGGCATCACCTCTAGCACTGCCTGCTGGCTGCCGGACGGTAACTTTTACCACCTATTCAGAAGTAGACACCAACAAAAGTGCCAAGTAGTGCTGGCTTTCTGCATGGGAAAGCAAGTTCAACCTTCCCTGCACACCAAGAACAAGAGTGGCGATCCTTCTTGAGCACAGGAGCAGGAAATGCTCCTCCCAGGGTCCTCTCCCAGACCCCCACACTGCTGTGCTGCAGCATGGTCCAACAGGGCCACGCTTATTCATGCTCACGCAGAAACACACAGCGGTGGATCGAGCAGCGGCACTCGAGACACGTACCAACACCACTAACCTGGGGTTTGAATCTCACCCCGCTCCCTGAAAACACACTATATCACGACAACTTTTTATGTTATGAAAACACAAGAAACAGGATAGAATGAATATACTTTAAATAATCGCTTATTTAAAGTATTTTCCACAACACTTGCTTTGCTTTTTTTTTTTGTTGTTATTGTTAGATCACACTTAATATGATTCCACGACATCAATGCTGTGGATGAAATTGAAAGCTGTATTCTCCTAAATGTGTTCCTAACATTCCATTTTTTACAGAGCTGCCAGGGGCTATTCTGCATTCCCACAACTGCTACAAATGTAACATATTGTTTTGCAATAAAAATTAGCTATACAAGTGTGAAAAATGCCAGAGATCCAAATGTGAGAAACAAGAGAAGGGGGTATGGCTTTCACACCCTTTTAGTGGACATTTTATTTATTTTTCAAATGGAGCAGACATATTTATAGCTACTGTATTTCAATTATCTCTAATTTCACACATTTTATGCAAATTCTAGACATTTTAATTGCAAATGAGAAGGGAACTTATTTTTAAAAGTGGAGCAACACAACATTTCAGATCTCAATTTTAATTCCAAATTTATCTACATCACTGTTAAAAACTTTTAAAACCTCATTTACACTGTGACTTAAAATTAGGTGCAATTTAAAACAAAAACAAAAGACCTCCATACCAATTAGTTATATCACCAAAACCTTTTTCACACATTCTTATATCTTTTGGTTTTAAATCAAAATTTTTAGGTAGGAAAGTTTGGGAAGTTGAAATGGCATTACTAATCCGCGACACATCATTTCAACAAGAGTCAGTAATTTAACAGTATTGTCCATAACTGATGAAAATTAATACATTACCCACCCTATTTTCTCCTTCTGTCTCCATGACTTCAATAACCTAGGGCACAGGTTATTAGCTCAATCCGTGCTTAGCCGTCACTCAATGGGAAATTCTTTCAAGAGGATAAACCACAACTCAGCCTTTGGCTGGATAAAAATTCCCACTATGCATTAAAAGCACTAGTGACAAATGTCGCTCTTTTCCAAGTAGTATTCCCAGTAGCTAACTCCTACTGAACGTTAATAAGCATATGGCCTTCAATACTAAGTAAAATGTTTGTGACAAATTCAAAACCAGTTGAACCTGTCCTGGTTTTAAGGACAGACGAATTTCTAATGGATCCTAGGGCTCCAAATCAAACTCAGGGTCTGGGGATGTGATCCACGACGCTGGGTTTGAGAAGACGGGGAACGCTGCACGCGCGACACTCACCAGCACAGGGCCCTGCACCCTATAACCTAAACCACTTTGGCCCCAACCAACCAGTAAGACACAGGTTTTGGTAAAGAGTGCCTTAAATTTTGCCATCTAAAATCCGTCCTCTAGAAACGCTATTCCCAAACAATAACACATAGACTGAAAATTAGTTCTCTTTAAGCTGAACTACTAGCTCTGGTATCATGCTTTGCTTTCAAGCAGCTATCCCATTCCTGTCTTTTCCAACACACACCCTGACAATGATGCATGCATACAGAGTCACAGATTTAAAATCAGACATGTGCCTCTGGAGCTCTCTAAGCTGAGAATCCAGTGCTCGACTTCTCACTATCCAATGAAAAGGTCTTTAAGAGTTCCAACTATTTACTGAAATACGTAAAATAATTTTATTACAAATGGAATTTTACTGTCTGAAATGCGTGAGGTTTTTCTCTGCTTTCTTTCTATTTGGTAATTTATTTAAATGCATTCAAAAATGCATTCAAAAAATGAGACAGCACTTCAGTTAAGACATCTGTATTTCAAACCAGCTTCTTCAGGCCTGTGAGCAGCTCTGTTAATAGTCTTTTTATTTGATTAGGGTAATCTGCTGCTGCGCTGTCTTAATCTTTATCCACTACCCTTTAACCAATCAATATTTTAGGGTTATAGATTTAGAAGGTAGATGATAATTTTGTAGATAGATTCTCTAGGCACTGCCTACATGGTATGGTTGCATATTTAGTATCTTTTCAGAGGATTCACAACTCCAGCAATGTAAGAATCTGCCCAGGAAAAAAAAAAAAAAAAAGTTAAACCTTAAATTTTCAAAGCTGTGTGCAGGGATTTGGCCACCTGACTCCTATTAACGTCAATGAAAATTTAGGGGTAAGAAAAGCAATGTCTTTTCCCTCAGATCGTTTCTTCTTTGAAAGGAACCAGAGAACAAGAGAGAGGAAATGAAAAGCAACTTTGTACCGCAGGCTGAGACCAGCGAGGCCTGCTGTTGAGGCAGGAAGTACACAGAAGTAGAACATTTGTTCACTAAATGAGTGAGCATCTCCACACGTATCAAAATAGCTAGGTATGAGAAGTTCAGAAGGAAAAAAATTACATTTTTTGTTTTTGAAATGTCATAAAAATATATATTTTGTAATTTTGCTCAGCTAAAATTATCTGTTGCTTATGATATTAATTTTGCTGCAGATAAAATTAGTTGTCAAGACCTCTGTTTATGGCCTAATTACCTTTTGTAAGAAAAAAAAAAGAAGAAAGAGCAGGAGAAATACAATAACACACAGTTATCTACCTTGCAGCAAGGAGGTCCTTAGTGATGTGTTGCCTGTGTGGGTTTCACTCGTGCTAGGCATGAAATCAGATATGCTTGGGCTATTTTGCCCGTCTGGGCAGTGCCAGCTTCTGCCTGTCCTTGTTTCCAGGCCTGGGGATAGGCAGGATGGGCCAAACCACCCTCTGCTACTTCTAGAAAACTGGGAAATTGTCTTGAAATGAAAAATCTTGAAATTATTCAAGCCCCTTATAATAAGGGAGCGAGTCAGGAAAACTGGGAACAAAGTAATGAAAAAAAAAAAAAAGCCACTTCAAATGACTGTCCTTCCCTCTTGAAATGTTTGTCCACTTTACTCCAGTTTTGGAAACAGTAAGGGAATTCTTTATTGGTTAGAAGTGGTGCTAGGCATGCCACTGAAAAGCTGCAAGACTTGTAAACAACTGGACAGAGCCTAGAGTTACAATGTTAGAAACTAGCACATTTTGGTCTCATTTCAGTTCTCTCTATGCATATTGCCTGATCCTTCAGCAAGAAGCAAGTACTACAAACACTGAGCATATTTCTTAATAGCTTTTCCCATTACGTTAACCTGAAAATTTAAATCAATTCCTGCAGCATTCATGTTAATCAAGCTGCAGCCACGGTGCCATCCAACCTACAGATCTACCCGGCAGAGCTCGGGAGCAGCACATATAGAAGATGAGTGAATCTCTCCTCAGACAGAAGTTGTCCTTCGAAGCGTTCTGTGCACCATTGGCATGAGATCTGCCCAGCTACATTTTTGAATACATTTGATGAACAAAAAATTTATATCTGTGTTCATTTCACAAGACGTAAACGTCTCTTTCATGGTAGGAAAAATCCTGCTCCCTGAAGTGATACTAATCTAATCTGACATGCGGTATTTGTAAACGTACTTTAGTGTCCCAACCTATTTACAGTGTTTACATAAAACCCCCCGAAATCTCCACATTCCTTGAAAAGTTAATCCAGTACAAATATTGACTGGCTGTCAATTGAGCATTATTGACTTGCTCCGGGACTGTGTTTTATTGCCTTAACTGATGAAACTTGTTTTCCTTGCTAAACTTAATTTCTTTTTGGCCCCATTTGGATGAAATACCATTTGCTAGACTTCATCTCTTCCACTCACTGCTATGGGGCTGCCTCTTCCAGTTAGCTAGAGTGGTAGGAAAGCCAAAGTATTTTGCTGTGTGCACCAGGAGCTGGCAGAAGGAACCCAACAACCCAGTCTGCATCTTACATAAAGGACCTGGGCCAGCACCAGTCCTATCTCCTACGAACATTTGGGTCACACCAGCTCCAATACAGTGATTGCCCTCTTTGCAGCCACATACATTGTACAGAGCAGTGTTTCCAGAAAGGCTGGAAGGGTCTATGAACCCTTCAGCAGTGTCTAGGAAAGATACTATGAAAAACAAACTGATTACCAGGAGGCTTAAATTCCCACTGTGGCAGGGGGTTTTTTTAAGGAATTACAAAATTCTAAAAGCTGAAAACCTTGGATGTCTTTGCATCATTTTCTCAGGGACAATACAAATCAGGTTGTCCAGAAACCAAAGTTCACGAAACACACACACTCATCATATTTTGAACACCCAAGAAAACATTATTTATCATTTCTTTTTTTTAAATCCACAGTTTCTAGATACAGCAAAACAGAAACCAAAAATAGCAAACTTTCACAACATTCCCTGAATCTGCAACAAATTCCATCAAACATTTTAAGTTCTGACTCCCGGGTCAAGTGAAACTGACAATAAATCTTAGGAAGGATTCGATATCATTAAGCTGCAAAACCCAAAATCTATTATGAGAGATTTACCAAAACTTAGGAAAAAATGAACCCAAAATGTTTCAGTCGGCACAAGGAAGGACAAAAGGTTGGAACAGCAGACAGGGAAGGAAGTGTAGATCTTGAATGACCATTGCGTGTTATAAAGCAGGTATTCCTCTCTCATATCAAAAGAACATTTAGGAAGGAATTTCCTGAAAACACCAATGAAGACAGACATAGTGGGGTTTGTTGTTGTTGTGGGGTGTCTTTGTAAAGGAATGTAACAGAGCTGACACTTACACTTTGCCGGAGCGCTATCTGCTTCTCCACACGGGGATGCTTTTTGCACCACGTACAACTCCAGGGCAGTGTTTGGTGCTGAGACAGGATGGTGCCACCATCTGTTCCTTCTTCTGTTCTCATCAACAGTCTGGTGAGAGAGGGGCAAAGAGAGAAAAAAATGGGGATATGTCATGTTGCTACATCTTCATTTAATATTCTTTTTATATCTTTTTATACTTTTTTTATCTGGCTCAGGTGATGAGACAGTCCAATTCTTTTAATCAAACATACTCAAATTACCTTTCTGGGAACTGAAAAAAGTCATGGCAGTTTTGTTCTCGGATTTCCAACCACACAGCAAGTTTATTCTTGTCTAATTATTTTATTTTTTATTTTAGCCCTTACAAGTCTTTTTCTTTTTTTTTTTACAAAACTTCCTTTCCTTTTAAATGAAAGGCTTCTTCTAAATATTTGACAAATGGAAGAATCTACCCTATAACACCAGCAATGTCAAGAACACACCTGGCCCTCTGTTAAGATACTTTGGCTAACTTGAATAAGGTTAATGTTTTCATTAGTTTACCGGTTAGTAAGTTTTGGGGGTTGGGTTGGTTGTGTTTTCTTTAAAAACAGGTCTTATCACAAATTTTACTTTTTTTTTTTAATACAAAAGGGGCTGATTTGTGATAAGATCTCTTTTTTTCTTTTAACAAAACATGTGTTACCATTCAAATCCTGTCAAATGAATTCAAGGTGTCTAAAGCAGTTTAGCTAACGGGCTCCATGAGTGTCACAGTAGAACCACCATATGTCCCAGTTTGAAGTGACTTGTCTCCTCTGCTTTTCCTTCAGATGGCAAGAGAGCAAAGCAGCACTGCCCCCCGGAAAAAATTGGTAGAGAAGACCAACTGACTCAACAGTGGCTATCCTCTGCTGTATGTCACTAGGAGTTACCACTTTCTGTAAAATGTTATTTGGATATTAGATGTGGGATGGGAAAACCAGCATCTTAACAGGCTTCTTCCTTTCCCAACATCTTTATCCACATAAAATGAAATTGTCGATTTATCCAATAAGTCTGATATTATCCTCGTTCCTATAAGTATGCTACTGCATTAAAAGTCATTGAGCATCTGCAATTTAAGTAGCTGATGTAACACCTGCAATCACACCTCCAGCAACACAGTCTGCTGCTCTGCAGCAGCAGTTCTAGCAAATTCTCCCATCCTGCCCCAGCCACTGGGGTTTCCTCTCACATGTACTTCTGTGGAAAATGTGCTCTGTTGCTTCTGCTTCCTCAGACACACTCCTGATGTGAGAGCTCAATCAGAACATGAAACACCCCATGATTTTTTAAGTTATTTTTTTTAACCTAAAAAAAAAAGGTTGAAAATATTCTATAGCTGTTTGGTCCATTTTCATCTCTTGTTCCTTGTTCATGCAGCCTACTTCAGGCACAAAACAAGGAGCCACTTGTGGTCTGAGATACAGCATCCACGTGCTCACAGGTGTGCAAACACAAACCCAGCACCTTCACAACCTTCACTGGGGCTGCATGGTAACATCAAGAAAAAAGCTGTATCCCAGAGGTGTGTGTGTACACATATGTGTGAGAGAGACAGGCAGGGCAGCACGGGGGCCACCGGAGGGTGGATGTGCAGCACAACAAGCCTGGCTAACACTGGGTTTTTAAGGTAAGACATAATAATTTAACATACAGATGGCATATCAGTTTACATCGCACACTGAGTGCTCGTGCTTGGTTATACTAGTAATGGGAGAAACAAATTATAACAGAGTCAGAAAGGCCCTGAAAAGCGAAGCAACGGGGGACCCCAGATGTACTTGAACCAACCACAATCACACCACCAGCATGAAGTGTAAAAAGTGCCAAAACAAGATGAAAACACTGACAGTCCATATGTTTAAAAGCTTAGGTTTTGCTGTAACCCAAAATCCTTCCCTCCCTACATACCTGTACATAATAATCATAATAAAAAATAAGCCCTCAAGATCAAATAGTCAGTGATATCTTAAAAGAAAGAAAGAAGACAGGCTTAAGGAACCAAATCCTTGTAATAAATAATATATTATGAGTTAAGGAGATGAACTGACAAAGTAGTGCACCTCTAATCTCCTCCCTGCAACAGTGAGAAGAGCTGAATCACTCACACAACATTTTTCTTTAAGCATGTTCAGGGATTGCTCCTACACTCCACTTTCTCCAAGAATATCATGCTTTACTAATTTACCAGATTGACTAAGCCACATACCAGCAACATAGTCAGTTTTAACCTCTCATTTTATCTTGTAAAAATATAATTTCTGAACATTCTCTTACTAGAATATAATTGACTATTTCAGGGCAGGTTTAAATTAGGGATGAGAGAATCAAGGCATTTAACTGATGCAAACTCAGCTCTTTCTGGGGTTCAGATGTAAGGCCCTTCCTCACAAATCTCTGATATTCAGTGCTAAGTTGTCAAGCCCAGCAGCCGTGGCAGCCTCCTGATGGCTCTGACATCTATCTAATGTAAATTTTGCATGTGGCCCATACTTGGAGACCCACTGCAGCCCTGCAGTGCATCAAGGGCCATCTTACTCAGGATTCAGAATTATTCTTTTATTTCCAAGTTGAAATGACGCCTATCCACCTGAACAGTGATTTTAAATAACAATCTATAGATGAAAAAAAATCCAGCAGCATCGCAAAGATGCCAGGCACATAAAGAAAATTAACTACCCCTTATTTCTAAGCAGTAAAATCAATGTCACCTTTTTATACCTTCAGCCTCCTGTCTAACGTCACTCGAAAGATTCCTACCAGTGTTGTGCAGCTCTTTCAGGCAAGGTAGGTGTATAGTCCATGAGCAAGGACCTCCCACCTTACACCAGTCCCATGCTTCTCTACCAAGGCCACATCCCTTCAGTTCTTCCTCTCTTAGCTTTGCCACCTGAGGATAAAAGGTCTCTGCAACATTCAGGACCTAAACGCCATGACATTGAAGTGCACCAGGTTTTATGAAAAGATAGACAACTTCCAAGCAATAATTGTTGAAGGAGAGAACGTCTAATACTCCACACACAAATTTCATAATGAAAACTCAAGCAGCGATATAGAACAAGACTGCAAGACGTGATGTTTATTTTTAGAATGAATGACAGTTTGCCATTCTGGTATGATATGTGTAAACAGAATAGAACGTTTATTTTTCTTTTAAGAGCCCATAGGCTGGCCAGATTTTTTAGCTGTTATTGTTATGTAATTATTTCTGGTATGGCATTAGCACATTTTCATACCTGCATAAGCCTGGTATATATGTGACTGCACTGAAGACTCATGTATCTTGACAGGTCAAGCAGTAAATAATGAGAATGCAACATTAATATTTGAACTAAGCTAGAAACTACTTCAGTGATAAGATCATACGTAACCTTCTTTTCTAATTTGTTTTCTTAAGTCCAAGAAAGCATTTCAACTTAAGAAAAAAAAAAAGGAAGAAAAATAAGAAGAAACAACAACAGAGCATTTTCTTAGCAATAAAGCAGCAGGTTTCAAAATCCAAATTAATTTTGACATTAGTTATTTTAGTATTGCAGAAATTTTGAATGATACAATGATCATCAGAAACAACTGTGCCCACAGTTATGTCTAAATGGAGTTATTACTGGTCATCAGTTCAGAAGACCACACTGATACAGCTAAGACTCATAATCCAAGTCAAACACACACAAGTAGGAGACCTAAGAAAGTGTAAGAATAGTATTAAAGGATTAAGAAAATTCTAGGAAAAAAGCAGAATCAGTGGCAAATACAAGTAATTGATTTTGAAAGGTTGGCTTTGAATAGCATTAGAGACAATCCCAAATAGAATTTAGAAATGAGAACATATTTTGCAAAATATTTGCTTGTAGCACAGTGCTTTTGTATTGAAAATCAACGCATTTACCAAATCATTTTTGTTCAGAATAGAATTTTTTGTCCTGCAGAATTCACCATCAACGCTCCCAAAGCCACGTTTTTTCACGCCAAATAAACTGTCTCATAAGGCACAAGGAGAAAAGAAATAATGGGACCAAGAATGGCAGTCTCATGTTCTGCCCTCCACAGCCAGGATGCACTGGCTTTTTTCTAGAATTCACGCTGTTTCTCCTATACCACATTCCATGCTTCTGTTTACACTTCCTCATTTTTGCTCCATCTTACCCTACTGAAGTGTTTTCTCTTCCTGCCACCTCACTCTCTTTAGAGCAGCCTTTTTTCCCCCTCCCATCTTTCAGTAGGTTCATTTTCTCACCATAATAAAAGTGGATGCCAAAACTACAAGCTGGTGTGGCCTGCAGTTTAGCCTTCCCAGTGCAGAGCAGAGGGAAAAGGAATCATTGTTACAGACCTGCACGAGTTACAGCTATTGCTGCTGGCAAAAGCAGGAACTGCAGTTAGATTTTAAGTAGATTTTTAAAAAGGGCGGGGGGGAGAGAAGCAGAAGTTGAAAGGGGAGAAGACACCCCTTTTTTTCAGCCCAGCTATTTGAGAGATAATTGCTGTAATTTTGTCTCTCCTAAATCTTCTCACTGGGCAAGTTTACTGAGGAAGGCAGATTTCTAACTTTTAAAAGCACAATAATTCACACTTTTCTAGAAGAAGTTTCATTAGTTTGAAATTTAAACTTGATCATTTCAAATTCTAGGACAAGACCTAAAAATTGCAAAAATATCAAAGAAAGAGAAACCAAAAAAAGACAGAGAGACAAGAAAGAAGATCAAATCATACAGTGCCGGGGAAAAGCAAAGAAAGGAAGACAAAGATTTTCACTTTGTCTGGCACAGTGTTTTAATGTTTTTTAAATTGTTCTGTATTTTCACAGCTTCAGCTGATATTTCTGAAATATGGAATTTGCATTTTCTAGGTGGGGAACGCTGCCAAAACTGTTAATCTCAGGCAGATGCAAAGTTGCACCACTATATTGTGATGTGGCTCCTTAAAAACAACTTAAAAAGATAAAAAAAAAACAAAAAACAAACCAACAAAACAACCACCCAACAACCACAAATATTCACTAACCCATATGGTCAATAATTGCTGTTTAATAGTCCTCCTATTACAAACCTAAAAAGCAGCAGCCAGAATTACCAGTAGAGTATTAA